TTGCTGTCCGGAGGCCTGTAAAGTGTGATGTAAACTGCACCCCTTTTACTTCAATGTGATGTTAGCTTTGAAACCTAACTAGCAACTGTTTCACTGCTGATTATTCTAGCACAGGGGCTCTCAAACTTTTGTCCTGGTGACCCCTTTCATATAGCAAGACTCTGAGTGTGACCCCCCCTTATCCATTCAAAACACTTGTTTATATATTTAACACCATTATACATGCTGGAGGCAAAGCAGGGGGTGGGGTGGAGGTTGACAGCTCGCGACCCCCCAAGTAATAACCCCTGAGGGGTCCCGATCCCCAGTTTGAGAACCCCTGTTCTAGCAGGATCATTCACCTACTGTGCTCATCCCTCAATCGCAAACCAGCCTCTATGTCAACACCGCACTTCCATGAAAACTTTTGTCACTCAGGGATGTGAAAAAAAACCACCCCTGACCGACAAAAGTTTTAACGATGAAAAGCAGCGATGTGAGACGCTCTCCCAGCAATGAAGCTACTGCCCCTCGTTGGAGGTGGTTTTATTTTGTCGCCGGGAGAGCTCTCTCCCAGTGACAAAGAGTGGCTACACTGCGTACCTTGCAACGGCACAGCTGCAGTGACACAGCTGCCCCGTTGTAAGGTGTGCAGTGTAGACACAGCCTGAGTCCCTTCTCAGGCACCATGAACCCCATTGGTCATAACCTCTATCCTCCTTGGATCCGCCTCCCCCAAGTAAGGTTCTGCATTCTGAATTCGAATCCTTCCTGTGTCGTCAAACATCACTTAGGGCACAAAGTCACTTTAAGTCTGGAATAATTGTGTGCTCACAAAGCAGGCTAATTATTCCAGAATAAATTCTAGACCAGAATGTCTCCATCGCCAGTTATTTCAGAAGAGTTTATTCCACAATACACCTCTACCCTGATATAACACGAATTCGGATATAACGCAGTAAAGCAGCGCTCCGGGGGGCGGGGCTGTGTGCTCCGGCGGATCAAAGCAAGTTCGATATAACGCGGTAAGATTTTTTGGCTCCCGAGGACAGTGTTATATTGGGGTAGAGGTGTAGCTCTTCTGGTCCATTTCCCCCAGTAGACAAGCCCCTAGGATTGTTTACCACTTTTCTACAGCTGTGTTCTAAAGTGAGGATTTCCAGGATCTTTTCCACAGTAATCCTCACTCCCATATCCTTACACCTGATCATTGTTCCATTCAGTGCATATTTCCCAGACAAGTTCATTGCTACTATCCCAATTATTTGGTATTTGTCTCCAGTTAAATGCATTAGCCACCTACTGCCCACTCCTTTGCAAGCTGGGTGCACTGTTCATCACTGTTTGCTCAGCCTCCACTTTCAATATTATCTGCAAATTTAGGCTTTGTCTATACAAGCACTTTTGTTGGTAAAACTTTTGTCTGTCAGGAAAAAAACACATGCCGACCAACAGAGGTTTCACCGAAAAAAGTGCCAGTGTGGATAGCGCTGTGTCGGTGGGAGATGCTCTCCTGCCAAAAGAATACTGCCGCTTGTAGGGGGTGGTTTAGTTATGCTGGCAGGAGAGCTCTCTCCTGTCGGCATCAAGTGGCTACCTGGGAGACCTTACAGCGGTGCCGCTGTTCGGTCTGCTCTCACTGTAATGTCTCATCTGGTGGGTGGCCCCTCGACCTGTTCAGCATCCCTTTAGCATGCTGGGCCTGCAGGCACTCCGTGTAAATTATCTTCAGGTGAACGGCGCAGAGCGTTATCAGTCCTCACATCAACTCCCGGAGGCAGAAAATTATCATCAAACCCATTTTACAGAAGAGGGCATTCAGGCACAAAGAGGTCAAGTGGTTGCACTACAGGTGGGACTAGAACCCAGGAGTCCTCAGCATCAAGCCCCAAACCTAATCCATACACCCTGCTGCCTCAGTGCAAGGTGCTTGCATTAAATTCCAGATCATATGAACTACCCTCCTGTCTAACCAAGAGTCAGACATGGCTTTAAGTAGGATAAGGGAGTTTTTAAGATTTCACCTGGCGTTCTCAGGTTGCAATATTAGCATTTGAGGTGCTGATCCCAGCTCTGAGATATGATGAGGAGTAACCCCTTCCCCGTGTTCACCTCCTCAGCTCATCTCCGCCTCTCGCCCACCCCATGAGATGAGGAAGGAAAAGTTCCTCCTCTTTTTCCATACCTCTTGCATGGGCTGGATTGGAGCATTTTCCAACATCCACCGTGAACTCCAACGGGGTGTCCGGAAAGAAGGTTTTCAGGGATGGCAGCCGTAGACACTCCTCTGGGCTTGCGTTACACTGGCAGGCCTCAATCACTTCCACTTCCTGAACCCCTTCAAACAGCAGCACCCGCTCCACGTGAACTCTAGTGGGTTCACAATGGGAATCCAAAGGGCAGGAACGTTCTGCTCCAGTCGACAGAGGCAGCTCCATCTGCCGATCCTGCAACTGCACAGAACAGTCACAAGATAACAGGTATATTTAAAAAGAGGGGCAAGGGAACAAAGAGGACCCGGGTAATTATAGACCACTCAGCCTAACTTCAATACGTGGAAAAATACTGGAACAAATTATTAAACAATCAATTTGTAAGCACCTAGAGGATAATAGGGTTATAAGGCATAGTCAGCATGGAGATGTCAAGAATGATTAAAGGTCTTGAGAACATGACCTATGAAGGAAGGCTGAAAGAATTGGGTTTGTTTAGTTTGGAAAAGAGAAGACTGAGAGGGGACATGATAGCAGTTTTCAGGTATCTAAAAGGGTGTCATAAGGAGGAGGGACAGGGAGAAAACTTGTTCACCTTAGCCTCTAAGGATAGAACAAGAAGCAATTGGCTTAAACTGCAGCAAGGGAGGTCTAGGTTGGACATTAGGAAAAAGTTCCTAACTGTCAGGATGGTTAAACACTGGAATAAACTGCCTAGGGAGGTTGTGGAATCTCCATCTCTGGAGATATTTACGAGTAGGTTAGATAAATGTCTATCCGGGATGGTCTAGACAGTATTGGGTCCTGCCATGAGGGCAGGCGACTGGACTCGATGACCTCTCGAGGTCCCTTCCAGTCCTAGAATCTATGAATCTATGTCACAAACAGGTCACACCAAACCAACCTATTTTTCTTCTTTGTCAGGATTACTGGTCTAGCAGATGGGGCGAAGTTGTAGACATGATTTGCCTTGACATTAGTAAGGTTTTTGACACATTCCCCCATGACATACTCATAAGCAAACTAGGGAAATGTGGGTCTAGATTAAATTACTGTAAGATGGATGCAAAACTGGTTGGAAAAACATACTCAAAGAGTAGTTATCAATGGTACACTGTCAAACTGGGGGTATGTATCTAGCGCTGTCCTGCAAGGCTGTGTCCTAGTTCAAGTACTATTCAATATTTTCATTAATGACTTAGAAAGTGGAGGGGAAAATATGCTTATGAATACTGCCCCTCCCTCTGTAGGAATAACTATCCTGGTACAGATCACATTTATACCAGGATAACTGTGTCCACTCTAAGGGCTTGTACTGTTTTATTTATACTGATATAATTAAAATGCTGCAACTTTTGGGTGTAGACAAGTCCTTAACAGTACAGGCTCTTGCTAGTTTGTTAATTAGGGTTGTTTGTCTTGGCTGAAGTGTCCCAGGGTTATTTTACACACAAGGAGGGAAAGTATCCCCACTAAGGATCTGCTGTGAGAGCCCCGATGGCCAAGTAGAGAGAGGCTAACACCACAACAAATAATCTGATTCTGTGGCTGCCAATTTTACTGACTCAGACAGGAAAATGCATTTGGCCTCTTCCCACCTGTGCAAACTGACAAGCTCAGGAAAGAAGTTTTTAATTACTGGGACCTAGTGTAGAACAGATGTGGCCTAAAGTACCAGCACCAGTGCTAGGCTGCAAGGGTGGGGGGACGATAAGTGATCCCAAATCAGGGGCATAGCCACACCCGAATCCACAGGCTGAGACTCCTGACCCTGTCTCTGTGTCCGTCAGCCCGGCCGTGTCCCTCTCCTACCCTGCCCCAGTCTCCAGCCCCAGGGCTAGCCCCGCGGTGGGGGGGGAGGGGTATGTGCCTCATGGGGGCGGGTCTAGTGCTGGGACCAGAGACCAGGGCAAGTAGGAGAGGGATGCACCACACAGCCGGGCTGATGGACACGGGGCTGGGGGTCAGGAGGGGTGGGCAGAGCTCGATCCTCAGCATGGCCTCCCCACCCCCACCTGTCCCCCATCCCAGGGCACTGGATCTCTCCTGCACCCCCTCCCAGGGCCCCCCATCCCTCCTGCCCTTCTCACCCCGTCATTGCCCACCCACCCAAAAGCCGGGACCCACACAGTTTTCCTGTCCTAGCTTTGCCACTGTCCCAAAGTCCATCAAACACCATCTAGTCAAGATATTATAACGTAGGAAACATTGCAGAATCCTCGAAATAGAGGACTGGAAGCAGTATTGCCAACCCCAAATGTTCAAAAATCATGAGTCAGGCTCACCAAAAATCGCGAGATTGGCTTTACAATCATGAGATTATGTACAACTAATAGATTTGCTGCTCTTTGTAGTTGCCTTCTGTTTTTTGAGCCTTTAGGCTGCACTGGGGTCACATTTTGAAGCTTCCTCCTCAGCCACGAGGGCTAGAAACTTAGTTTTTCTTTAGGAATGAAGGCTGAAATCATCACATACCACTTGACTCCTGGGACTGGGGCTTTAAGGAAAACAATAATTATCATGAGAGTTGGCAACGCTGTTTCTAGTCCAGTCCCCTGCACTGAGGCAGGACAAATCCCTGACAAGTGTTTGTCTAACCTGCGTATCTCCATATACAACTGAGCTCTGGCTGTTTCTCTCACAGCAGGTGTCTGACACCCAAGGAGAATTAGTTTCCTTTCCTGTAACTCAGTTACCTCACTTGTTTGTGGGCTGGCAGGACAATATGTTAGATGAACAGTTTAGTATATTTCAGGAGATCTATTTAGGAGCATATAGAAAACCATAAGGCATGATCTACTTCTGGATGTAACTGCTCCCATTGTGGAGATAGTAAAACACAGAGATGCACATTTCTCACCTTTTTAGTTCTAAGAAAGTCCAGCATAGAGGAATGTTTGGGAAATCCAGACTGATGTGAGTTTATCCTTTGGGATGAACAGTGGGACCTGCACATCCCAACATCCAGACTTACAGGACTGCCAGAGATGTCTGTGAACAGAGGAAAGCTGGAGTCAGAATCCCTACAGAATGCGGAAATTATTACTATTTATTAGTTGTATTGTGCTAGTGCCTAGGCGCCCCAGCCATGGACCAGGCCCGGATTGTGCTAGGTGCTGTACAAACACAGAACAAAAAGATGATCCATGCCTCAAAGAACTGACAAACAGAAAGAAACCTCAGCTGCAGATGGTTGCCTAATTCTGCAAAGAACAAACACACCCAGATCCACAAATGTAATGTGGTCATTTATTTTGACTGTGGTTCCCGATGATATACTTTGTAGTAGACTAGCAAATTCGCTCTAGTGTATTTTATAAAAAGCAATAAGGTCTCAGTAATAGGAAATCACATGACAATGTCTCTGCCATCTAGTTTTTAAAGAAGGAGGAAGACCACCAGTGCTTTGGTGAGAATCACTAAGTCTACATATTAGCAAAGGGAGAATGTGAGAAGTTCTATTGTGGTTGAATTATTTAACCAAGATAGTAGGAGTGTCTGGGTAAACTCTCTAATTCATGGGCAAATAGAGCATTCAAGCTGGTCTTCACACCACCTGAGGAAGTCTCACACACTCAAGTTGGGCATTTCATGTCTGTGAAACACCAGTGATTATCAGCTAATAATTGTTTCCTCTAGAAATACTTCAGAAAATTGGCTAGTTTTCTCCAGCAGCTTTGTCTATATTCAAAGTTGCTTCAATTTCACTTTATATTGGTTTAAAAATCAATTTCAATTCAATCAGTGCATGCCCCAGCGGGGACATTTTTACTTCAGTTTTGATTAAATCTGTTCCCAGCTGATTTAGGCTGAACCACAATGAGCCTGCTTTAAACCAAAATAAGTGTCCGCCTAGAAGTTTACACCAGTGTAAAATCACACAATTAGGCCATGACTACACTAGCATTTATGTCAGCAGAACTTTAGTCACTCGGGGATGTGAAAAAAACACTCCTTTGAGCGCCATAAGTTTTACCGTCGTAAGCACTCGTGTGCATAGCGCTATGTCGGCAGGAGAGCATCTCATTGAGCTGGTTTATTATATCGACGGGAGAGCTCTCTCCCATCAGCATAACATGCTACACGAGCACTCTTGCAGCTGTGCATCAGTACCGGACAGCTCGTAAGTGTTGACAGGGCCTTAGTTAAACCGCTGCAACTTTCTCCTGTAGACAAGGCCTTGTGTGGACACTTAGGCTATGTCTACACTATAGACCTGAGCCCTCCTGCCAGTATAATAAAACCACCTCCAATGAACGGCAGGAGAGCGTCTCCCGCTGACCTAGCGCTGTCCACACCGGCACTTTTGTCAGTGAAACTTATGTCAGTCAGGGATGTGTTTTTTCACAGCCCTGACTGATAAAAGTTTTCCAGACAAAAGTGCTAGTGTAGACGTAGCCTTAGTTCAGTTTAAACCAGGTTTATATCAATTTAGTTTAATTTGATAAGGAATCTACTTAAACTAAATTACCTTTAGTTAAACTGGTGCAAGTTTGAATACAGACGAGGCCTCACTACAGAAGGCCTGGTGCTACCTCTAAATGAGTCACTAATATGAACATATTCTTCACAAGCACAACAGCATAATAAGGCAATTAAAATGACTGAGGCTTTCTGAGGTGTTTCGCACGTGTCTGTAATCATGAGGGCTATATAAAAGCCGCATGCTTAGCAGAGCAAAAGGGAGCAGGCAAGAACTATCTCCAGAGCTGTCCAGATAAGCTACAGAAGGACATACTCTGCTTGTTGCTCCTGGACTTCTCTGTGCTGTAAAAATGTAGAGGGGGGTTGGAAACTATCATCTCCCCTATTCCCCTTTCCCCCGTTCCTTGCCTGGAAATAAAACCCTGAGAACTTCAGAAAGTGCCTGCCACAGCTCCAAACTCCAAGCCATAGCAGAAAGTTTGTCTCAACTTGGATGGGATAATACTATGCACTTTTTTCAGAGTAGCAGCTGTGTTAGTCTGTATCCGCAAAAAGAACAGAAGTACTTGTGGCACCTTAGAGATTAATACATTTATTTGAGCATAAGCTTTCGTGGGCTACAGCCCACTTGTTCGGATGCATACTGATGATACAGTTGCATCTGATGAAGTGGGCTGTAGCCCACGAAAGCTTATGCTCAAATAAATGTATTAATCTCTAAGGTGCCACAAGTACTCCTGTTCTTTTTACTATGTACTTTGACAGCACTTTCACCTGAGGACCTCAAGCATTGAGAGGGATTAATTCTCACAGCCCTCCCTGTGGTAGAGATGATCGTTCTTGCTTTATGCCCCAGGAAACTGAGGCATGTGAGGAATAATTTACTTGCCTAATGTCACATTGAGCCGTTGCAAAGCTGGGAAAAGTACTCTGTAGGTTCTAGTCCTGTTCTTTAACCACTAAATGATCAAATTTACAGTCAAAATTGCATAGATGGTTTAGGAAGCCTCTACAACTGTATTCCACTGGCTGCAAAAGGAACCAAGACTATATAGGGCCCTTTGTTTTCAGTTTTTATTTTATTTATTTTTCCCCTGGAATTTATCGGTGTTTATTACCCCAACTACTAAAACAGGTGACAATCGGTGGAAAAACTATTAATAATTTTACTGGGTAAGTATCAGAGTTTATTCTGGTGGACGGAAGGACAGGGCGAAAAAGCATTCGGTAGATTAATGCTTTGATTAATGGAATTCAGTGTGGTTTGCTGCAGAACTAAGAGAGAACTCAAAACATGCCACCTCTGAGTTTAAGAAAACAATAGCTCTTTAATCCCCAAATAAACCTTTTCATTTGAATAAACAGTTTACTGTTGTAGACTTAGAACTATTAGCCTATAAATATTTACATTTCATAATTGGGCCACACCATGTGAAGCACTCAACTTCATCCTTTTCTCCTGTTTTGTTTTGTTTTTTAAACTTTTGAATACTTCCTAGTGTTCTGAAAGGTATTCTGATACAGATTTTTGTTTTCTTTCCATTTTAGTGTGTCAGCTCATTAACTGTTATCTGCTAACTGCTTGAAATGTCTATGTGGTGGGCATGAGAGGCATCAGTACGTTCAGATGCAAACGTATAGATATACACTTACTTCAATGCTTGTGTTCCTGTTTGTTTACTGTGTGTATCTTCTAGACCAGGGGTGGGCAAACTACGTCCCGGGGGCTGCATCTGGCCCGCCAGATGTTTTAATCCGGCCCTTGAGCTCCCGCTGGGGAGCAGGGTCCGGGGTTTGCCCCGCTCCAGCACTCCAGCCAGGAAGTGGGGTCAGGGGCTTGCCCCACTCCACGTGGCTCCCGGAAGCAGCAGCATGTCCCCTCTCCAGCTCCTATGTGTAGGGGCAGCCAGGAGGCTTCGCACGCTGCCCCCACCCCAAGCGCCTGAGGACAGATCAGTGTGCAGAGCCGCCTGGCTGTGCCTCCACTTAGGAGCTAGAGGGGGGACATGCCGCTGCTTTTGGGAGCTGCTTGAGGTAAGTGCTGCCCACAGCCTGTATCCCTGAGCCCCCTCCCACGCCCCAACCCCCTACCCCAGCCTGGAGACCCCTGCCGCACCTTGAACTCCTTGTTTCTGTCCCCACCCCAGAGCCCGCACCCCCAGCCAGAGCCCACACCCCAACTCCCACCATACAATTTCCATACCCAGATGTAGTCCTTGGGCCCAAAAGTTTGCCCACCCTGTTCTAGATTAATACATAGCCTTACTTCAACAGGCAGCTTTGCATATACACACGCACTAATGTGTTGTTAGTGCTCATACAGTGCATTATATTTTCCTAATAAAACTAGTTATTTTTATATATTTGAATTATATAAAAATAGGGTGAAAATCAGAAAAAAATGAATAATTCTTTTTGTAAAACCCAGGATTTTTTTGTTAAAAATTGGTTTAAACTGAAAACAAAGGGGCTTAACTATATACAACTTTCAATAGTTACAGACCTTTTCCTAATGAATATAGTAGACTGACATATTTCCTAATTTGCACTCACTGTAAAAAACAAGCTGCACATTGGTCCAAAAAAAGATGTTACCTCCCCCAAGTTGTTTCTCTAATAGCCTGGGACCAACACAGCTTCAACTACCCAGCACTCCCAAGATTACTCCTGAGAATCAAGTCGTTCTGGTACAATACACCTCTGAGCTAATGCAACTTTGAAGGCTGCAAACATTTGTCTTGAGAGTAAGTTCAATACATTTGGTACAGAAAATAAAGCTTGTTTTGTTCAAAGGGGAATGTATTGACCAATTAACGAATCTGCCCACTAATTAATATTTTGTGAAATGTGCTTTTAGTACCTGGTTATGTAAGTGAACAGTAGCATTAGCCTTTTAAGGATCTTGTTAGGAGTGCAGCATCCCAGAGGTTGATTAGGCAGCATGCCTTGGGGTGTCACCATTACATTTACTTACTTCAGACCTTAGCTCTTTGGGAATAAAATGACAGTGAAGTCTTGGGAGCATCCATGGCCAGAGGGCTGTTGATGATGGAACATGTTTAAAGGAATCAGACTTCTCAGAGCCTAAAGGAGAAGTTCACTTACCGTGCCCAATATAGACGGAATGGCTCTGCCTCCTGCAGCAGCCCCTCTCTGCAAACAAGTTCCTTCCTTCACTCTTCCCGCTGATGGCTCCTGCACCTGCACTCACAAAACATAAAGCTCATCCGATCACCAGCTTACAGTTTGAGCTGCCTTCCTTCTTTAGCTGGAAGGGGACTTGGAGCTCCAAGCAGAAGGCACACAGACCTCATTTCTTTAACTTTATGATTTTGATTTAAGGAATAAGCAGGATCAAAGTAGTTAAAAATGGAAATGACCCATTAGATCTCCAAGACTACTCCACGGCAAGGATAGACTGTACACACTCCATCATTAATTACCATTCATTAAGTCCTTGATTCACCCATCCCCATTCTCACTTTACTCAGCGAGGCAGAATCATGCCCCAGCATATTGCTGATGTCTGACAATCACCTCAGCACCGTATAGAAGAGGGAGCAGACAAGTAGAGATGAACCAGTTCTCCAATAAAGGACGAATTGGATAGTAAAATAATTTTACACTTGACCTTAGCACTTCCCCTGTTCGTTCACAAGTCCTTCACTCCTTAACATCAGCACACAGAGCAGTAAACGCCATAGGAGGAAAAGAGAAATGAGACTTACTGACAAGGCTGGGAATACAGAAAAGGCCACTGAGAAGCACGGTCGCCAGTGGAAGGTCCCTCATAGCTGCACCCTTGAAGACACTGAATTGTCTCCAGTATTCCTAGCTCAGATATTTATAGCTAGAGCTCCCTTAGCAGGGGAGAAGGCGCTTGCAACAGAGACAAATGGGTCTGTATATTGCTGACATATGTTGCCAAGATTGTGATCTGAATAAACACCAAAGTGGCCTCAGCAGTAATGGAATCTCATCACCAACTTGTCTAGGGGAGCGGGTTGCAGCCACACTTCAAAGCCTTGCTTGGAAATGGCAGGTTTTCCACCCCAGGATGGGGGATTTCTCCCTCGGGGGCCTTTGTTCTCACCACCACTTTCAACCTAATTAAGCTCTCAGTAGCTTGGAGTCATTTTTAAGTTGTCTCATTTAAAAGAGACTCAAGTTCTTCAGCCTCATTCATTGCACTGAATGGCCTTTTCTCTGGAGATAACCCTCTTTTGTTTCTTTTCAACACCAGACTTTAGATTAACCCTAGCTCTTTGGTAAACAAATACACCATGCAAGGCTCAGCGAGATCTGCAGAGCATTCCCTCTGGAGAGCAGCCCAAGGCAGGTATCTGGGCCTCCCTTTCTGCCTTTCTTTCTTTATCAGAGGGGTAGCCCTGTTAGTCTGTATCCACAAAAAGAACGAGGAGTCCGGTGGCACCTTCAAGACGAGCAGATCTGTTAATCTTTAAGGTGCCACCGGACTCCTCGTTGTTTTTTCTTTCTTTAGCAAGGCTGAACCCTTCAGTTGGGAAGAAGTTTCTTTCTTTCATGCTCAGTAAAAACAAGCAGGAAAGTTCCTCCTTCCTGAGGAGCAGAAGCACCATGGACCCTTCCTGCGTGCAGCGAGGAATTCTCTCTAGAGCGTGCATTGGTTTCTGGGACTGCAATACAACCCCCGAAAAGCTCTCACAGGCCTTGTCTAGGCTAGGAAAACAGGTCCTTCTTTCAACTGAGGCAAAGCTAGTTCCACTGAGTTAACATGATTGAAAAAAGCACCTTTTTTCCTGGTCTAAAAGAGGCCACGGCCCACAAGCGTAGCTATCAGGGTCCCACTTTGTTATGTGGTTGAGCAAAGTCATGGCTACAAGAAACTGGGCTGTCAGGTTCTGTGTCCGTAAAAGGTCACTCGTGTGAGAAATGGTGGCAGGCCCGCAAGCACTGCTGTGAGGGAGAAGTTGCAGAGCAGAGGGCACTGAGCAGAGTAGGTATTAGGCACAGAGGAGAAGAAAGAGGGTGCAGGGATGAAAGCTCATTGCATAGGGCATGGAGGACAGACCAGGGCGAAAGTGGCACTGAGGTGGGGCACTAGGTGGGGAGGGAGGGTACGGAGTCTGGTGTGCACAATGACTCCACTTGTTCTTTTTTTACCTTCTGGCTTCTATCAGGTTGGAAAATGAAATGACCGTCCCACACCATCCCTGCTGCATCTCTGGGCTCTGCCTCTGTGACTGAGGAGAAGAAATTGAATCCCACAATGGGTCAGAGGGTTTGCAAAGGCCTTACACCAGGGGGCTGGGATGGAGATAGACCGGAGACTCCCTTGTTAGCCAGGTGATTGATTAGATGGAACCCTGATGTCTGCTTCCCCTGGTCACAGTCACTTGCAACTGGGCTCCCAGAAATCTCCTCAGGGTGTATGTGTTGATTGTAGTCTCCTTATTCTGTACCCACAGGGGCAAGAATGATAGAAAAAGGTCATTATGAGTGAACTCCAACAGTCTCTCACAAACCCCAGTGCACAGGCACGCAGCTGGGAGGCTGTGACCATTCCATTGATAAAGACACAGCCCCCTTGTGGAATGCAGTGCAGGGCACAAGTCCGAATTCAACCAGTGGTGCACAGGGTGCATTTTTTCTTTGGCCCATACGTCATCTTACCACCCTCGGTTACAGTGAGGAGCACCCCATGACACGCTCTGCTTACGGTTGCCTGAGCACCTCTGTAATTATAACCTGAGTTTTCCATCACTCGGAACTTCCTGAAACGTTCACCTTTGAAACTGAAATTTTCCAGTCTTGGAAGGTTGAAAAGCCTGAAGGTGAATTTCATAGTCGGGCATCAGGGCAAAACCAATTCACCCGTTTCTGACAGGAAGCAGAGAGGAAATAATACCCCTTCCCCAAGATGTAAAAAGAATTGGAACAGCCCAATCGTCCAAAGGGCTGACTTTGGCAGAGAAGTAGCGCTCTCTGAGGAGCAGAGCCCTTCCTTTCTCTGAAAGAAACTGGCCTTGATTTGATAGTTAATTATTATTTGTATTGTCATAGTGCCTAGGCGCCCCATTCATGGACCAAGCCAATGTACTCTGGGAGGGACTTGGGGTTTTTTTTTTTTTTGCCTTCCTCTGGAGTAGGGGTCGGCAACCTTTCAGAAGTGGTGTGCCGAGTCTTCATTTATTCACTCTGATTTAAGGTTTCAGAGTAGCAGCCGTGTTAGTCTGTATCCGCAAAAAGAAGAACAGGAGGACTTGTGGCACCTTAGAGACCTTAGAGACTAACAAATTTATTAGAGCATAAGCTTTCATGGACTACAGCCCACTTCTTCGGATTTAAGGTTTCACGTGCCAGTCATACATTTTAAATAGGTCTCTTTCTATAAGTCTATAATAAATAACTAAAGCATTGTTGTATGTAAAGTAAATAAGGTGTTAAAAATGTTTAAGAAGCTTCATTTAAAATTAAATTAAAATGCAGAGACCCCCGGACCGGTGGTCAGGACTCGGGCAGTGCGAGTGCCCCTGAAAATCAGCTTGCGTGCTGCCTTTGGCACGCGTGCCATAGGTTGCCTACCCCTGCTCTGGAGCAGGGATGGCCACAGCTGGAGATGGGACACTGGACAGAGAGGGATAGGGCTGTGAGGTGGCATTGGGCATTCTCTCTCTCTCAGGTGCTTGGCTGATCCTAACTCAGGGATGGTCAATTATTTGTCAAGGTCCAAATTTCTTGGTCAAGGTATAGTTGAGGTCCAGACTCCAGAGGAAATAATAAAAAATATAACAACAATGATAAGTAAATAAAAAGATTTTGGTGTCCATTCCAAAGCGTCTGGTGGTCTGGTTTTGGCCCATGCCTATTGACTACCCCGATCTAACTGATGGCCTTATGTGGGGTTGGGAAGGAATTTTTCCCCAAGTCAGATTGGCAGTGACCTTGTGGACTTTTCACCTTCCTAGGGCTATCTGGCTCTATATCATTTAATCATTTCCCTGCCATTGCAGGAGCCTCGGATCCCGATGCACCTCAGTCCCTCCTCTTCTCTGCCTGTACCATATAACAGTCTAGTCTCCTGTGGGCTGTAACACCTTGGTCTCATTTTGGTTGTTGGGGTTAGTGTGTAGGTGCAGGGCAGGGTAGGTGGCCTATGATCTACAGGATGTCAGACTAGATGATCTGGGGGGTCCCTTCTGGCCTTAATTTCTAGGATTCTAGGAGGCCCCCAAGGTGCCAGACGCTGTACAAACACAGAACAAAAAGACACTCCCTGCCCCAAAGAGCTAGAGTTGTCCATATTTGAAAATTAGGTTCTAAACCTTTGCAGGAGCAGATTTTGTGAAGTTCGTAAGTGTCACTAAGCATAGGCGCCAACTCTGTGGGTGCTCCAGGGCTGGAGCACCCACAGGGAAAAATGGTGGGTGCTGAGCACCCACTGGCACCCTCCCTACTCCCCACCAGGCCCCAACAGATCAGTGCCTCCCCCTCCCTGCAACTCCCACCCTCCCCGATCAGCTGTTTCACAGTGTGCAGGAGGCTTTGTGAGGGAAGGGAGAGAGTGCGGCGCACTGGGGGAGGGAGAGGAACAGGGCGAGAAAAGGTGGGGCAAGGGCCTTGGAGAAAGGGGTGGAGTGGGGGCAAGGCCTGGGGCAGAGCCAGGGGTCGAGCACCCCCCAGCACATTAGAAGGTCAGCACCTGTGTCACTAAGGACAATTGCATGGTGCATCTATGCACAGCCAACTTAGCTTCACACTACAGCCTCCAGGGCTGGATTTCCAATTAGGCACAGTAAGCAAGTGCCTTGGGGTGCCAGCATTCTAGGGGCACCTTACCTCTCTAAAACTGTGTGCAACACGAAGGTCAACTGTAGGCAGGAGGGGCACTGAAGATGCTGTGCCTACGGTGTAAATACGGCCCTGAAAGCCTCCATTTGCAAAAGTGTCCACTCATTTTGGATGCCTCAATTTTTGGATAGCCACATAGGGCCCAATTTTGTCCTCAGTTACATTAGCAGACTCTCTAAAGACCTAATTTTAGACTAGGGCATCACATCCAAAGGTGCTGAGCATCTGCAGATTCCATGGAGTTATAGAAAATATCAAACCCTTGGTGTGTGAAGTTGGATATCCAAAAATGGAGTCCCCAAAACTCATTTTTGAAAGTGTAGGCCAACGGAATCCTCCTGTCCCATGAATTACTCCAAAATGTTTCTGGGAAACATAAGCTCTGTTAAAACAAGCCCTCAGACACATGCAGTCTACCGCTCTGCATTCCCACCAAAATGGCCTCTTTCCCTGTGGGAATGAGCACTGGGCTGGGAGCCAGGAGATCTTGAGTTACTTTGTCACCTCTTCCACTGAAAGGTCTCACTTCTCTTTGCATCACAACCTCCCCGCCCTTTTTTTTGTTTGCAAAGCCCCATAGTCTAGCCTAGGGAAGTAGGCAAATATCATTACTCCCATTATAGATTGTGAAGCTAAGGTTAAGCAAGTCATGCAAGGGCACAGAAAGCTTGGGACAAAGCTGGGAACAGAACCAAGAGCTCTGAAATGAGACACTGGGCTTATTCACTACAAGACTGGGGGGGATGGATAGCTCAGTGGTTTGAGCATTAGCCTGCTAAACCCAGGGTTGTGAGTTCAATCCTTGAGGAGGCCACTTAGGGATCTGGGGCAAAATCAGTACTTGGCCCTGCTAGTGAAGGCAGGGGGCTGGACTCAATGACCTGTCAAGGTCCCTTCCAGTTCTAGGAGATAGGATATCTCCATAAATTTAAATACTTCTTGGAGAAATTCAAATCTAAGTGCTTAGTCATGCTGCCTGCACAATGGGGTTACCCCTGCTGAGCCACCTTTATGTGCTTTAAGATACCGTACAGAGGTAACAAGTGCTATGTCCATGCAGGGTATTAAGCCCATTCCACATGGACAAAAATAGATATAAATGTTGCATGATTTGCAGTGGCTGCACATAGGATTCAGGACTGGGTATTCTGCAGCCAAAGACATTTTCAACAGGTGTTAACTCAGGGATATTTTGTTATTCTAAGGGATATAAAGACATGCATTCGTTAGGATGTCATTGTGAGGGCATTGCTAGAATCCTTGGGCCAGGTTGGCCACGTGAAAGTTGGAGTAAGTGTGTCTTGCCCCCACAGAGACAAACAGTGGGGTCAGTGCAGCAGGTATAGGGTAGTTTGCATGATTTAGCATTCAAGACAAATGTAAAAGAATGCAATTTATGTACCAAGGATTCAAGTCAGGCATCACTATCAGATGTAGCAATCAGTGAAGTTGCACACAAGTGGCAAGTCCCTCAGGGGGAGATGTAGCAGGAAAAGTAACTGACCGGAAGATTTAAGATACATTTTAAAGCTGCACCCCCCCCCCGCGACTTTCTCTTACACTCAGACCAGCCTCAGCATTCCCACATGCACTTGATTATGATAGTCATGAACTGGTCCCCACACAATACCAAATACAAGTCTCTAAGGTGCCACAAGTACTCCTGTTCTTCTTTTTGCAAATACACATAAGTTACACTTGTTTTGCACACCCCTTGCATGGCAAATCAGTGCAAGTTACACATCTCTGTGACTTTCATTTGCTTTATGGCCAGCTTGCAGCCCCTGCATAACTCTCACCATCTATTCAATGTGGACTTTGGCTCTAAGGAAACAGAAAGCTCTTCTTCACTTAATGAATTTCCTACTTCATAAAAATAAAGTAGGAAATTCATTGAGAGGTTTTGGACACAAAAAGCTAAATTCCTAGCTGTAGTTGCACCGAAGTGAAGGGAATTACTATAGTCATATGGTTATTGTATGGTTTTGCTGAGACATGTTAGAGTGTGTGGCCCCAGATTAGATTAAACTGATATTTAAACACAACAGTGGTGTGACTACAAAGCAGAGTTAAGGTTGTTTGAGTCCCTAACTCTACATTTCTGTATCTTAAGGTTAAAGTGAAAACAAATCTCAATGTGTTAATTGCGAATTTCCTCAGTTTAGCATGCTCGGTTTGGGAATAATTATGACACCTAGTAACGTATTTTACCCTAAGTTACTGATAGGCTAAGGCTATGATTCTGTCATGGAGGTCACAGATTCCATCCTTTTCCAGAACCTCTGGGACTTCATCTGGGCCAGGGCTGGAGCAGCTGTTAGACCCAGGGCCACCAGAACAGCTGACCAGCGGCCAGCCCCGGGGCCATTGGGGCAGCAGTCCTGACCAGAGCAGTGGCTGGGGCTGAGTGAGCCCCCTGGGGCTGGCACAGCAATGGGGCTGGAGCAGCTGCAAGCCCCAACAGCGCTCTGTCCCTGCACCTCTTCCGGCTGTTAAGTCAGGGACGGGTCATGAGCTTCCATAAATTTTTGTTTATTGCCTGCGACCTGTCCCTGTGATCAGGAACAGTCAACATGGATTCACCAAGGGCCTGACCAACCTGATAGTCTTCTATGATGAGATAACTGGCTCTGTGGATACGGGGAAAGCCGTGGATGTGATATATCTTGACTTTAGCAAAGCTTTTGATACGGTCTCCCACAGTATTCTTGCCAGCAAGTTAAAGTAGTATGGATTGGATGAATGGACTATAAGGTGGATAGAAAGCCGACTAGATTGTCAGGCTCAACGGGTAGTCATCAATGGCTCGATGTCTAGTTGGCAGTTGGTATCAAGCGGAGTGCCGCAGGGATTGGTCCTGGGGCCAGTTTTGTTCAACATCTTTATCAATTATCTGGATGATGGGATTAATTGCACCCTCAGCAAGTTTGCAGATGACACTAAACTGGGGGGAGAAGTAGATATGTGGAGGGTAGGGATAGGGTCCGGGTGACCTAGACAAATTAGAGGATTGGGTCAAAAGAAATCTGATGCGGTTCAACAAGGACAAGTGCAGAGTCCTGCAATTAGGAAGAATCCCATGCACCGCTACAGGCTGGGGACCAACTGGCTAAGCAGCAGTTCTGCAGAAAAGGACCTGGGAAGTATAGTGGATGAGAAGCTGGATATGAGTCAGCAGTGTGCCCTTGTTGGCAAGACGGTCAACGGCATATTGGGCTATATAAGTAGGAGCATTGCCAGCAGATCGAGGGAAGTGATTATTCCCCTCTATTTGGCACTGGTGAAGCCACACCTGGAGTACTGTGTCCAGTTTTGGTCCCCCCACTATAG